TACCTAATATAAATCATTTTACCCGATGCAAATGGTAATTGTGTACCTGGTACGTTATGGTAAAATTTTCTCATAGTAAAATCAATAATCGCCTACAAAAAGTGAATGTCCATTTAATGAAATAATACCTCCATTTGCACACTTATATGAAGGAACATAAAAACAAGATGTACATAATCGAAGTTCTAATACAAATACTTACGTAGCCTTCGAAGTGAAGCTCTTTACGCACTTGTGGTATAGTTACGGTAAGGTAAAGTTTGAAGCTGTCAACGAACAATCTAAAAACGTGCAGCTAGCAAGATTAGCTCCACTGGTCAGATATTATACTATAGTGACAGACAAAGAGGAGCTAAGTGCATTAAACTGGTCATTCATCGCACACATACACTAAGGCATAATGTACGGTTATGCAGCAGAAGGACAGCTATTGAGTGACATTACAAAAGGTATTGTACGTTGGGGCTAGTTTATCTCATATTCGCCGAGACGGGACTTGTTCTGCACTGATAGTGTTCAAAGCATCGCTTGTTCGCAATGTATAGAGTCATGTTACTGATAAACTATGATAAACGACTCAAACATCTTCATGTTGTTAAAATAATCAAAATATTTTAATTATTATTCTCTGTCTATTGTTTTCTATTTCTAACTGTATTAATAATAATAATAATTTTTTTATTTGTCTTAATTCACACATGGTTGTTAAAATGTACAAAAAGATCATCACAAACTTATCATAGAAACATACTTAGGTAACATAAAAGTAATGAGACAAACTGGCCTTTGACTCAGCTATGTGGTGATTTGAGGTCACCGCTGGTATTCCGCCACAGCCGACCTAATTTTGGCATTGACGTGAAACAACGTAAAGAAACGACTGAAATGTATACTCATATGTGCTATGTAAATTTCGGTAAATTTATAATACTTAATACCTGCCTCCAATTTTTGTTTCTTTTAGAAGACTTTGGATTTTTTTTTACATAATAAATGTTAACCTTATTTTATGTTTTAAAAATAAACAAGCGACTCGAGCCGGTTACTCATGGATAGGATATATTAATGTTACATAATTTAAATTTAAAATAGCCAAAGATCATTACTATATTTTAAAAATTATTGGTGTTTTTTTTCAAAAAAAATATAATCACATTCTTTGGCTAAATATACCCTAAATCCTTCATGGTATTGCTCCCTATCTGTTCGTAAGGTTTGATTATAATTGGTTCAGCCTTTCCGAATATTAGCGGCGACAGACAGACATACAGACAGACAAAAATAGTAGTTTTATGTCTTAATGGAATGCAAATAACCCCGCGAGCTTAATAGAAGTCAGTTATTTCAACACTATACAGACAGACACGTCAATTTTATTTTAAAAGCGTCACTATGAAAAAATTAACAGAAATGCCTAAGAATTAAAGTATGTTTTGTGAACAGATTAATTCAAAAACCTCTGAAATAGATAGATCAATAAACATATTATGCTAAACTTCAACACCCAAACTATATATTTTTTTACTTATATTAATTATTGTAGTATTATTTCGAGAGAACGTAGTAAACTTTAATAGGCAAGCACGCGCTGAAGCAAACTGATTCCGTCTGTTTTGTTAAAAAACATATAGTTAGTAGTTCCCTATATCAGAATTTTTCCGGTACGTATATTGTGGAGGCAAATATTTACCTTAATTGTATTTAATTAATACTAGCTGTCACCTAAGGCTTTCTTTTTTATCAATCACTCTCAATTAGTTAATCTGTACAAAATATCTTTCGTGTATCGAAAAATTTAAAAGCTGCCAGCTTCGTAGTTGCTGACATAACGTCCGGTCTTATGTGTGTTCTTTGATTTGAGTGATCTTCGACTTTGAAGTTGAAAATAGCTTGGTGTGATAAAGTCGGCTGCCCTCACGTAGCTGCCTTTAGGATTCACATCTGATCACAGCGCGACCAGCCTCCGTCCTGTGCATTCGAAGATGCCGTGGATAAGCGTGCAACCACACATTGTGTCATTATGTCGGCATTAAAATGTTCTGGAAGCTCGTAAGAACTGCCAGGGGAAATTCAAAACAGCCTAGAATGAATGTTATACGAGACGAGAATGGCTGCATGTTGAATGATGAAGTTTCGAATTTAAAGAGATGGAAGGAATACTTTGAAAGCGTGTTTAAGAGTGAAGAGTCGTCTGAAATAAGTGAAATAGAAATTCCGGAAGAAGTGGAGAGAGGTAGGGAGATAAGTATAGATGAAATAATGAAAGCAATGAAAAGCATGAAAGCAGGTAAGGCAGCCGGATATGATAAAGTATCCCTCGAAATGCTAAGGGCTGGTGAGGGTGTGGTTGCAGGCCTGCTGTACACCTTGTTTAATTTATGTTGGGAACTGAAGCGGGTACCGGAAGACTGGTGCAAAGCCGTAATAGTCCCAATATATAAGGGAAAGGGGTCGCAGCAGGACTGTAAAAACTACCGTGGTATCAGCTTGCTTAGCATTGTGGGTAAACTGTATGCTAAGGTGTTAATTGAAAGAGTTATGGAAGAAACTGATGGAAAAATTTGGGATGTGCAAGCTGGATTTAGAAAGGGGATGGGGTGTACGGATCAAGTCTTTTCCATGCGCATGATAGCGGAGAAGTTTTTGGCCAAAAACCAGAAAGTTTTTTGTGCGTTCATGGACTTGGAAAAGGCTTATGACAGAGTGGACAGGAATGTGTTATGGCAAACACTGAACTCATTTGGGTTGAGCGCTGGCTTGATACAGGCATTAAGGTCTCTTAATAGGCACTCTAGTGCTTGTGTTAGGATCAACGGGGTCCTGCCACAAGCACTAGATGGTTTGGTTTTGGTTTGGCATTCATAAAGGTGTCAGACAGGATGCGTGGCTTCCCCGTGGCTGTTTAACCTATTTATGGACAGTTGTTTGCAAACTTTGAAAGTTGAAGAATGTGGGTTGAGAATGGGTGAGTCAACCGTCAAATGCCTTTGTTCGCCGATGATAAAGTCATATTTGCATCGTCGGCGGCAGAGTTGCAAATGATGGTTACTTTAATGAATTGGTCATTGAAAGAAAGGGGTATGAAAGTGAACGCAAGTAAGACGAAAGTGATGGTTTTTGAAAGAGAAGAAAGTAAAACTTTATGTGATATAAGAATAGAAGGGGAGTTGATTGAGCAAGTGGATGAGTTTGTATATTTGGGATGTTTATTTAGCAGGGATGATAGATATGATAAGGATATAGAACGACGAGTGAACGCAGGAAATAGAGTGAATGGGGCTCTACACGCTATTATGAGGAGTCAGAATGTGTCAACTAAGGCACGTATGGCAATTCATAATGCTGTGTTAGTCCCTACTTTAATGTATGGTAGTGAAAGTTGGGTCCGGCAGAAGAAGCATGACAGTAGAATAAATGCTGCAGAAATGCGTTCCTTAAGGAGTATGCTTGGGCTGAATCTGAATGACAGGGTGAGAAATAGTGTGATAAGAGAAAAGTGTGGTTCGCAAGATGACGTTGTGACAAGGATTAAGATAGGAATGCTTCGGTGGTTTGGTCATGTAGAAAGAATGAACGAGGAAAGAGTGACAAAGCAAATTTATGTTGCCGAAGTGAACGGCAGGGTCGGGAAGGGACGCCCTAGACAAAGGTTTATCGACCAAATCGGCGACACATTAAAAATGGGCCAGATTAGGAGTACCCTTGACCGACGAGCGTGTATGCGTAGATATATGGATGTAAAAGAGGCGAGAGAGGTGTGTCAGGATCGCGCCAAATGGAAGTCCGTAGTCTCTGCCTCCCCCTCTGGGTGACAGGCGTGAGTGTTTATGTTATGTTATGTTAAATTAAGCTACTATATTTTAATTATGTTTATGTTTTATATTTTTTATGTTTCATCTCTAATTATATTAAAACAAATGTATTTCACCCTCGAGGATTAATTTATTCCTTTAAAGGTAGCCTTTGTTTCATCAAAATTGTTTTTGTGTTTCCTTTCAAAGTCAAATTCAAAACTATTTATTCATGCAGTTTAGGCTTGCTGAGAGCTCCTGTGAACGCCATCAAATTCTACACCAACTCGCAAACCGATTTATCATAAAAACGCAACAAACAGATGAACAGTTTCTTTTGAATTCGTAATATTTGTATGGATGAGAAAATCAATAGAGTGATAAATAAAACTCTTAGAATTATCATTCTACATCAAATTACATTCCCTGCACACAGTTTTTGATATCGTGTTAGTGTATCGTATCATCAATGGTTTCGATAAGAATAGAAAAACTAAAGTAATGCTTATCTTCCTTTTAGTTTATCAATGTAGTGGCACTGTTTGCTAAGATTGGTTGTATTTGACGGTGCAAATGCGAAAAAGGAAAATTTCTTGATCATCTCTTAATTTAATAAAAATAATAGACAAAGTGGCTGAAATTTCTAAACTTAAAAATATTGAATATGCTATTGAAAATTGATGCCATGATATTGAGTGCTTTATTCACGGGACCCATAAAGTGAAAATTAAAGGAACAAGAGACGGAGTGAAAATAGAAATCAGTGTATTTATAAAATGGCATCAGAATCCCGATGACCGTGCATATTTTAGAGAAGCCTATCGTAGAAAAATTACCTACTACAGACATATAGTACCAGCGATATTAGATATTCAAAAGAAATTTAAAATAATTGAGGGCTTAAAATTTAAATTCTCGAACTGCATCTTCGTATCATCAGAATACGACAAGGAATGTATTTCAATCCTAATCCCATATAAAGAATATTATAACTTTGACAGATTTCGCAATACTGACTTTAGTCATGCTGTGCTAGTTATAAAAAATCTTGCTAAATTATATGCTTCATCCTTGGCATTATCAAATATTTTCAATGGTACACGCCTCAATTTAGTTGTTTCTTAAATGAACGCGGTAGAAACAAATATTGTCATCGGTTATGATGTTAGTGAGATATAATACCCAGAAAAGTTAAAAAGTATTAAGGACATGCTCAACAAAGATGTTCAATATGGCGATATTCATATGATATCTAAGTCATTAAAATACTTTGCAGCATCGGTTGCCTTTGTATCTAATTCTTTGGCGCGCGACAAATTGATGGGGCTTGCATCTAATGTTTCATTAATTTTATATAAATGTACTTTACCAATAAAAAATTACAGCAGTGTTTGTCATGCGGATTGTTGGAATAATAATTTGGTTTTCAAATATCAAGTAAGTATGAATCAAACACATTAATTTATTTTCTTATCAAATAACATGCGTGAGCGTCGTGGAACACTCGGTTGGAACGAAGTTCCTTTCGTACTATATTATTATTGATAAAGGTATTATTTATTTATTCTTTATTGCATTCCTTACTCTAAAAGAATACAAAGGACGGACTTAATGCCTTGAGGCATTCTCTACCAGTCAACCCATGGAGTGATGAGAATTTGAAGTAGGTGTAGCAATATAGAATAAAAACAAAATAAAAATCATAATTAATTACGTGAACATATTAAATATTATTGATAATAATATTATATTATGTATGTGTATATATATATATATGTATATATATATATATATATATATATATATATATATATATATACAACAAATTCAAATTCAAATAAATGAATTACAAGCGTCTATTAATATGAAGCGTCATTTAAAATAAAATTATATTTCTTTCACGGCAAGATGAGAAAAGGTGCGAGGGAGATGGATATTATTCCATCTCGCTTCCTTATAGCCGCAAAAGCCATCTACACTACAATAGAAGGCGTCGTGACGGAAAAGTCTTACATTTTTTCGCGCTTAGCCTCCATCCGCCAAATTCGTACCGTCCGATAAGGAACTTCGTTCCAATAACTCTTGCTTAAAACAAAAATGCCTATATCGTTTTTTGTTTGCCTTTTCTATAATATTTTGAATGTCTGTAAACATTAGGCATTTTAGTTTTTATAGATCATATTTAATAATATAAGATTTTTTTTAAGTACCACTGCTGGACGCGGTCCTCTCTCAATATGGGAAGGATTTGGCTTAACCTCAGTGCTTTCTAGGCAAATTGACGCATCGCACCGTTGACGCTGCTCCATTTTTAACATCTGTCCAAAACGGGGCGATTATACCATCACCAGTCGAAAGCCTTGAGGTTCCCATAGCATGGGCCCACATGAAGTAAAAATGTTGATGGATTCTATAATGACACCAACACAAGTTCATACGAGTATAATATAATAACAGAATATTATACTTAAGTACATATTTACTACTCTTTACTATTCAATGCATCATATTAGAAGTCTATTGTACTTATTAATTATTGCTTAATGTTCTTATCACATATCAAATTAAATAATGTACTGCTCCTTGTGATACTAGTAATAATATATGCTTTAGTAATCATAATTTCAACATAAATTACAATTACCTCATAAATATAAAAAAAAATCTGCATTAATAGCATTCTACTAAGAACTTTACATTTCTTGAAATCGGCTTTTCAAAAGATTTTTCGCAATCGCCACAACTGGTTTTATATATTTACATACAGTATATTTCATATTTGCATATTAACTTTACTATAATCTTTTCATTATACAAGGTAAGAGGCCAGTGGATTGTTTATTGGCTGATTTTCAACTTGCACGGTATGCCTCACCAGTTACTGATATATAATTTTTTTTTTACATGTCAACGGATCGTAATTTTTTGGATAAACATTATGACCAACTTATAAATATTTACTATGGAACTTTATCAGCAGTACTTAAACAATGTAACTTATTTGTACAAGACATTTACCCAAAATCCATATTTAAAAAACATTTAAATGAATATTCTGTATATGGATAAGTACAAGCATTAATTTCAATGAAGATATTGACGGCGGCATCAGAAGACGCTATTAAAATGACAGAAATGAGATATTTGAATCCTGAAGAACTATGTCAATATGAGCTAAATACCAAGGTTTGTATATAGAAAGAATAAATGGTGTGGTAGATCATTTCTTTGAACGAAATTACTCTTTGTACAATGTTCTCAATCAATAAATAAATGTTGAATTCATTTAAGCGTTTTAATTGCCAATTATTACTAATTGCAATACTTGTGGCTACTGGCCAGTTACATTAAAGTAACCAATGAAGTGAATGGTGCTCTATTAAGTTTAGGCTTGTCTGAAGTTATCGTGCAAGCTATTTACTTTATATTTAAAACTTTTTAATGTTTTAACAGCCGATGCAAACAGAGAGGTGTTATACGAGTATGTATAACCTGTGTATCTATATATATATATATATATATATATATATATATATATATATATATATATATATATATATGTCTGTGGCATCGTAACACCCAAACGGACGAATGAAATTAGATTTAGGTTTTTTTTGGTTTGAAATGTGACATAATCGAGAGTGTTCTTAGCAATGATTCAAGAATTTTTTTTTAGTCATTTGCAGATCATCGGCTCTTTTCGTTTCGGGCGTTTTGAAACTTTTTCAATTTAAGTTATTGACTCAACTGTCACCTGAACCCAAAAGTGAGGTAATTTTGGGTTCAGTTAACCCTTTAAGTCTTTCACCATCATCATCATCATCATTACAGCCCATCACAAGTCCACTGTTGAACATAGGGCTCCTTCAAGGAATGTCATAAAGCACGGTCCTGAACCACCTGTCCATATTATTATTATCCATATTATTATTATTTATATTATATAATTCCTGCATAGCTTACCAGTTCATCACTCCATCTAGTGGGGAGACACTCTAAATTTTGCCTGCCGGTAAGATGCTGCCACTCGACAACCTTGCTTCCCCATCGGTTGTCGGTTCTTCATACGGTCAGCAGTGAAGGACCATGTTTTATATCCATAGGCCATCACTGGCAACACGAACTGGTTGTACAATCTTGTTTCGAGGTTTTGAGGTATGCCTGCCGAGAAGATGTGTCGTAATCTCCCGAATGCTGCCCAGCCGAGTTAAATCCGTCGATTGAACTCTCGGCCGAAGTTGGACTCACCTAGTGGGACTATTTGTCCCTGGTTAACATAACATTACCCAGTCATGTGTTGCATGACTGGGTAATGGTGTCCATGCAATCAAATAAATGTTAAACATAATTTAGAACTGATTTTGCAGTAAAATTAATGTCGTAGAAGTGGGGAAAATTAAGAGCTTTGTAAAGGATTACTGTGAATGATAGGCTGAGAAATTGTATGGTAAAGGAAAAAACTAAGGATTAAGATAGGCATACTTTGGTGGTTTAGACACGCAGAAATAATGAATGGAGTAGGAGTATATACGTAAATACAAATAAAGTACAGAAAAGTTGAACCATTCGTTATTATTTTTATTATTATTTTCGGTATGAGACTGATAATATTCAAAAAAGATCAAATATAACATTAAAATTATTACATGGCATACTTTCTCATGTAAATTCTTATCCTACTTGCAAAATGGTGCTATCATTATGTTTTTAAGCGTTGCAGTTTACATGCATTACATGCGTCGATTGAACTCTCGGCCGAAGTTGGACTCACCTAGTGGGACTATTTGTCCCTGGTTAACATAACATTACCCAGTCATGTGTTGCATGACTGGGTAATGGTGTCCATGCAATCAAATAAATGTTAAACATAATTTAGAACTGATTTTGCAGTAAAATTAATGTCGTAGAAGTGGGGAAAATTAAGAGCTTTGTAAAGGATTACTGTGAATGATAGGCTGAGAAATTGTATGGTAAAGGAAAAAACTAAGGATTAAGATAGGCATACTTTGGTGGTTTAGACACGCAGAAATAATGAATGGAGTAGGAGTATATACGTAAATACAAATAAAGTACAGAAAAGTTGAACCATTCGTTATTATTTTTATTATTATTTTCGGTATGAGACTGATAATATTCAAAAAAGATCAAATATAACATTAAAATTATTACATGGCATACTTTCTCATGTAAATTCTTATCCTACTTGCAAAATGGTGCTATCATTATGTTTTTAAGCGTTGCAGTTTACATGCATAAATTGCACAAGAACAAACATCCTACGTCATACAAATACTATTACCATGTAGTGTCAGTGTTAGAGTATCCGCTACCTCTTAACATCGCAAGGGTGTATGGGGTGACAGTGGAAAATAAAACAAGAGATGCCCTGCGGCATCTTCCTGATAGCCACTGAAAAAGAAACTATCGAGCTACGGCACATATCCCATCAATGAGGCAATCAATGGGAATGCTTGTTTCGTCCTGAATTCGAAGCCAAGGCCCTCAGCACCACAATTCAATGATAACCTACGGCAGAAATTTCTAATGTAGGTATCTTAGAGGCCTTTTACATTCACGAACTGCCATGCGGATAAAAATTCTCTCGGATTCTCTCTCTCGGAATTTTTTTTATAGGATATGGTGACAAACGAGCACACAGTCCACCTGATGGTAAGTGGTTGCTGTGGCCCATAGACATCTACATTTATCCTCGTTTGCGAATCAAAATGCAGATGCGTTGTCACCCATGAGGACTAAGATAGAATGCCTCTTTTCCAGGGTCTCCGGTTCTCTACACTCACCATACGAAACACAGCAGCATGAAGCTGCTTTTGACGCTGGTATACGCGATACGTCCAATTTATAGATACACTTTACAGCGCGAACAAATCCAAATAGTAGTGTGATTTAATACTGTTATTTTGGGCAGGACTCAAACACGCGGCCCACATAAACGCAGCAGTACTCTTGGCCAGTGTGCTACTGAGCCGTAATTTGCTTCGTGTTCTCATTGTTTTTCGATAGAAAGAATTATTTATGTGTGTACCTAAATACTATGTCCGTGCTTTGTGACAATCTATAGTCTAAGGTCAGCGATGGATTTGCGTTGAGCTGTAATAATGATGATGTAATATACATTATGTGATTACGTCTTTTACTTAAAAGAAAACAAATAAATACGAGTATTTTCAATTTCTTTAGTGCGAAAAACTCATTGATGTCCAGTGTTGTCATTCTTGTATCTGTAAACATATTTTCAAGCAAGATTAATCCCTGAAATGACACATTGTTCCACCGTGTTCTGGCATTATGTGTGAGAACTCCATTAAATGTGCTTCGAATTCGATATATAAATAATATTATTATTTGACATCTGCCACTCACGATAAGAGCCCATGAATGAATACCGCTCTACGAAAGGCTTCCCACGTCCTCTGCCACAACCATTTTTTTTGTTTTTTTTTTCTACAGTGAACATTAATATGGTGTGATTTGCGTGACCTACTTTTTTTATAGGATAAGGGTTACAAACGAGCACACAGTCCACCTGATGGTAAGTGGTTGCTGCGGCCCATAGACATCTACATCTATCCTCTGTTACAAATCAAAATGTAGATGCGTTGTCACCCGTGAGGACTAAGATGGAATGCCTCATTTCCAGTAAAAAGGGCCTCCGGCCACCTGCACTCGCCAAGCGAAACGCAGAGGTAAACCTCTACTTTTTCGAGCCGGCCCATTCGTGCGACAGCAAAAGGTGCCGTGTGGCCCTACCACTGTTAAAACTTACTTATTGTGGTTACTGACATTATTACACTTTACTTTTTAACAAACATTATTAATTGTTTTGAAATGCATCCAAAATATCCCCAAATGCGTTTCCAAACAGCCCTACATAATAAAACAGAAAAAATATAGAAAACTAAAAGAGCGAAATAAAGTGGTGTAACAAGTTCTTATTTCGATTAAATGTTAGTAAACGTTTTACTCCTACTTACTGAAGAATGTTAAGCCGTATATTGATATATAATATTCTTTGATCCACCCAGAATAAATATAATAATAATCTGGTTGAAGATCAAATAATATTTTCAGTTAAATATGTTTTTTCTTTAATTCCAAATTTTATTTTTACTTTACGATATTTTTATTTACTACTTAGAAAGAAATGTTTTATCTTAGTACTTTCTTATATTATTCTTTCAACTAAATGTTTCGTAAACCTAAGGCGACATTGTATATTATGAAGTTAACCTTACACGATTATTCTGTGAAAGAATACTCAAGGAGTTTTAAAAAGCGTTGTAACAAAGGCCAGTCAAAAGCTTAGTTTAGAATTACACAGCTTATCACTTTGTGCGACTACAGTAAGGGATTACTCACTCGCATCATTTCACGCTTCAAGCAACTAAGCCCTTGTAGGCACTTTAAATGCAGTGGAAGGGTGTTGTTTAAGTTAGGTGCACACATAAGGTCATATAACCAAGCAGGTCTGTATATCTCCTATGTCTGAGGTTAAGAAAGTCGTATAGTAATTATAGTCATGGCAAGTAAAGAAAATTATTGTACTATTTATTTTACTAAAATAATACATACATATATATATATATATATATAATTAAGCTGGGTCTCATTTTGGTAAAATTGACTTTCTTCACACATCGTAATGGCTAGAGCGTACAACCAACAAGCTGGAGTGCGCGAGATCGAATTTTGAAATGTGGTTAGTTAGGTTAGTTTGTGGTAGTTAGTGTGGTGTCGTTTTTTAGTATTCTAGCCCACACGGCCCCGCTGCAGGGCAAAAATAAATTAATATAGACAACTGCCGCTTGTTAAATGTATTCTTTCAGAAAATATACAAATCGATTCAATACTTTTATTCAAAAATGTATGAATGTATGTGTGTGTGTGTGTGCACGTACCTCTGCGGCCCGTCATTGTACGGCTGCGTGTCGTCGTGGCGTGCGCGCGACAGCATGTGTGCGTGAACGAGCAGGTTGTAGTTGTGCTCTAGGGCTGCGTACGGGCGCGTGTGTGTGTGTATGTGTATGTGTGTTAATTAAAATAATAGTACTAATAAAAATAATGAGTATTTTTATATGTTAACCGTAACGGATCTAATGATTTTGATAAAATTTTAGATTTTATTTTTCTTAGAGTTTCTAGATAACAGAAATATATTTTTTCTAACGTCAAAAAAAGCTCGGTATCCGACTATATGTGCTACTATATAAATTAGAATTCACTATAAAATCCTAAAAACAGAGTGGGT